TCCTTTGCAAATAGGTTCTGGCAGCCAAAGTTAGTACGCAGTTCCAGAAAAATCATGGTTGAAGCACAAGATTCTATTGGTTAAAATTCACTATGCAAAAGTCTCATTGTTGATACTATTACAACAGCAACATATGACCACCGAGATGAAAAAGATCATCTTTCCGTGATTGCAAAATGAGCATTACTTTCCAATGCTAGGCAGCTTGTATGCAAAAGTCTCATTGTAGATACTACTATAACAGTAACATATGACCACCAAGATGAAAAAGATCATCTTTTTGTGATTGCAAAAAGAGCAATACTTTCCAATGCTAGGCAGCTTGTTAGAGTCAATACCACTTTCATTATTCATTTGTGTTAGTGATTTTGGACTTGGTATTTGCTCTTTTGAAGGCTCTTGGTTATGGTTCTTGTTTGTTGACCTAAATACTCAGCCTAGCTCAACAAGACTCCACGTCAGGTTTGACCTATAATCCAACCTAGTTGATTGGACCAGATCAAGAACAGAGAAACCCCTCACAGGCCTTATATAGCTGCAAGGAAACAACAAATTAATGAAACAAAAGAAATACTGTAGCTTTGGCCTGACAGGATGTTGCCGTGATCTGACCGATTCTGATCCGAGTTGGGTTGACCAGACCTAGTCTTGAAAGACCTTGTTGGGTCTGCAATTCTGCATGCTTCTGGTTGTGTACCCTTGGAAATTAGTGCTTATGTAACACCCAAGCACAACTTTCTTCTTTTAAAGAAAGGTGACAATTTTACTAACATAAAATTGGCATAACTGTAGTTTGAAACCATGCAGTTAGACCTGGTACTTGCCCATGTCAACCTAACCGGGCCCATTGCAACTTCATTAAAACCCAGAGTAGGTTTGGTTATTTAATTTAAGAAATAGATTTTTTCACATTATGACATTTCTAAGAATTCTAAAATACTATTCTAAAATACCATCAACCAAATTAAAATACAGTAACAGAAAAAACCGCTAGCAGAGATGAGGACGCATCTACAAAGATCTACGTGCAATGAAAAAAGAAATCTGGGATTTGAGAATTTCGCATGATGGTTACAGTGTTGACAGATGCAGCACAATATCCCAGATTAAAATCCCTATAGCTAACCTAAAGAAAAAATAATGAAAAAAAATAAAAAAAATTATCCCACTCTTTTCTTTGACAAAATATCTGCAGATTCATGCATATCACAAGGGGACATGGAAGAGAGCAAGGAATCACCAACCAACACCATTGCCCTTGCCAAAACATGAAGAACTAACGATGGGACTGATACTTCTTGTCACCCATCCAATCACTACTAAGCTGTGCTTCTACAGTATGTTAAAAAGGGGAAAATGACTGACCTAATGTAGCCCTACCCTTTGCAAATTTGTGAAATACCCCACAAAGCCCCCAGATGACCACAAAATCTTCACTGAAGAATCTTCACCAAGCCACTCATCAAAACTGATGGCAGAACTATCCATCAAACTCGTTGCTTTGGGTTAAAGGGAAAATAAAGAGTGACCTCCCTCCAATTGGGAAGCAAGCTAACCGCACCATAACCCTTATACTTTGGGCAAGCCGAAGTACAAATAAGGATTATGAAAGAAGAATCTAAAGAATATCCTTTTTGTCAGTGGGCAATATTTGAAAGTGAATTGATAGGGCCATAGGAACAATCACTGTAACTATATTATCATTAAACATAATTTATTTACAAAAAAGAGCCACAAAAAATTTATAGCAATAAACATAAAACAACAAGCCAATTAAGGAGGAAATTTATCCAAACAGGTATATCATATTTAGAAACTCCTAAATTTTTCACATTAGGACATTATTGCAACTCTGCAAGAATTCCAAATAAAATATATTCTTGTGTGATGAAGTCATGATACATGCATGACTTGCATGCATAAATGCACATAACAGACCTTAGACCAAGAAAAACATATCTATATAAAATGAAGTGTACATTAGATTTCTTCTAGAAGTACCGCATTTTTTATTTATAATGAAACAGAAGTTTTTTAACCATGTTAGGGATGTTTGTCTAGAAAATAAAAAATTATTTAAGATTGGGTTCCTTGCAATATTAGGTCCTCTCTTTATCTCTCTTAAAATCATAAGTGGCCTAACACATGTCTATCTCTCTTGTCTTGTTCTTGGATTTCTCTCTCTCAAAACTGGAAACTAAGAATGTGGTGTAAACCATCTCAACTCTCTTTATCTCTCTCTCTAGAATACTCCATATGTTCTAATTGAAACTCAATTCATTGGTCTTTTTCATGGTTGTTGGGTACGGGAATGGGAACGGTTCCGGGATCGGGGGCGGGATCGACGGATCGAAGCTATATTGAAGATCCCTGTGTTAGGGATCGATGCCCGTACAGCCTCAAAGGTTGGGATTGAGGTCCATGTGTGTTGGGGATTGAGCTCCTTTATTACATACGATCGATAATTATTATATATAGGTACGAGATCCTATACATAAGAAGCGAAGTTCCCAAGGGCATTTTTTTTAATTTCTTAACTCAAGGAGCGCATTACTAAAAGTGACCCAAAATATTATTGGAACGAGGAATAAATTTTATAGAAGTGAGCTCCATTTTCTTAGAACACGAGTTCCTCGTGTTGGTAATAAGGATATGTGGCTTTAAGATGTAGCTCCCGGTGTTGTTAACCAATAACATATAGGCTTAGTCCTTCTATGAAATAAATAAGAAACTTTAATGTGATCCCATATTGGCAGGATCTAGATGCCATATATGGTGATGCTTGTGTTCCGTCATTTTGGAATCTAAATCCCAATGCACTCTGGAGCATGAACCATAAGACTAGGGAACTAGATCTTGTAATGTTCAGGAACACGAAATTAAATTGTAGGGAACTCGTTCCCTTATAAGATGGAGTGAGATCCCGAAAACACTAAATTGAGTTTCAGACGGGATCCGCTCCGGGATCAAGAGAATCGAGGTTCTGCAAGGGATCGCTAAGCAAGGGAGGAGATCCCGGTAACTATGGGCTTTTAAAGCAATAACACATGATATTTTTATTTTTTTTATAAGATTTGGGAACTTGTAAGCTTGGGTTTTTGACCTTGACTCTCTCCCCTCCACGTGGGCTTTATTGGAGGGGGAAAAATGACCAACTTGCCTGTCTTTCTATAAAAAAATTTGGGTCTCTTCCTCTTCCCTTGCGTTTTTTTTCTTTTTCGAACCCGGCACTACCCTCATTGTTCAAGCCACAAGTCTCAAGTCTTGCAACATTGCTCCTCCTTTACCTCGATAATGAAATGAAACCAATAAAGGTGGTTTCACGGTCTAATCGAGGTCGAAATCACTTACCCCTATGCTTGACCCAATACCAGAATGCATCTAAGATGCTCGATGATGGACATGGAGGGGGTCGTAACCCTGAGATATCCTCATTCATGGGCCTGAAGTTGGGATCTATTACCAGCTTGAGAATAGGGTTTTTGAGGAGCTTGAAATCAGAGCTCCAAACCCCAAAGTTAAGGCTTGGACTCCAAAATCAGGGTTCCTAGGCATGAAATTTGGGCAGGGGACCCTGTCAGAAGGGTTTGTGAACTTGGAATTAAGGTCTGGTACAATGAGATTTGGGCTTGGGACCGTGAAATTGGGGCTCGGGACCATGACATTAGGGCGGGGAACTATGAACTTAGGCTCAGGGTTACTGAGGAGGCGATCCCTATTGTGGAAGAATCTGAACTTTATTTGAGAATCATCAAAGCTCACATTGATTTGCATTCTCAGCCTGCCATTTCAGACCGAAAAAATTTGAATCATAATAGAGAAGAGAACACCATGTGAGCTTCTAGTAACTTCATTTTTTCTGCAATAAGATGCAAAAATGCCATCTAGAAGGACAGGGCTCAAAAAAAGCAGCAGAAGCAGGAGAAAAGGAACAAACCTTTTTTTATTGAAAAAGGGCCAAGTTGGTCATTTACCCCTCTAAGAAACCCCACATGGATGAGGGAAGGCCAATGTCAAAATTCAAACCATGAAAGGTCCAAAATCATTTAATTTTTTTTCCTGAAAAGGCCCCTATTAATACCCGTCACTCATTCCTAAATCCCCTTATTTTCTGAATCTCTCTCCCTCTTCTCTGAGTGCTTTCCTGTGCATTACGTGGGCTACATACCAATCATACCTTAAACCAATGTAAAATAACAGTGGAGACTACTTAAACATATAAAAATAATTCAACAAGATTGTCATAGCCATTCCATTTAAACAATAAAAAGCAAAGCAAATGACATACAATGAGCAACAACCACAACACATCTACAGAGCCATTCAAAATCCAAACTCCTAGACACTATATATTAGCAAAAATTAGTAGACATTAGTAATCCTATTTATGTTGGAAATCTTTCAAAAACTATTGTCTATCAATAATAAAAAAGGTTCAACAAAAGGGTCACTATTTTATTGTCACATAATAAATGTTTCTAATGAATGACTTCGAGATATAGAGCTTCGCAATTTATGCTTGATTCCCTTATAATGAAATTAATCACTACTTTTGGCTTTCTAGCAGACAGTTCCCATCTTGACTGGGACCCACTGTCCTACTATGGCATCCAACTTAATCTCAATATCATTAACTATTCCAACATTACTCCCTAGAACTCATTGTCAAATTTCCATTAAAACCTAATCAGAGCATTTACCATGCTTAGCTCAAACTTCAGACTTGAGATGCTAGTTAAACCTAAGGACATAATAACCATAGAATATGATCAAAATCTTGGCTGAAATTCAACCTAATAGAAAAGCAAACAGATTTACTCGAACATAACCTATTAAATGATGACATACACTGCACAACAATTGAAATACATGGCTAAAAAAAACGATCTAAACCAACTATAATTCAAGCTGTAAACATTAATTGACATTAAAATAGACGTGCAAAATAATTGAACTATCAAAAAGAAAAAGAATAATGCCATAATCTGAACTGCACATACCAGTCTCTGCGCAGCTTTTCGGCTAAAGTCATCACCATTTTCCAGTACATCATTAAGAGCATCTGGTAGAACCTTCCAAAACTCACCAACAAATTCTGCACCCTTTCGCCGGCTATTCTGCAATATATCATTTGCAAGATAGAGGAAAGACACTCGTTGTTCCCTTGGTGAGCAATGAAACTGCCTATGCCAAGTTTCCACAACCTGTTTTGCTTTCTTTCGATGGAAGATACACCAATGTGACAAAGCTTAACTCTATTAAGGACAACTCAATAAACAAAAAAACGAAGCTTGTGACAATATTATCGAGCAAATAACGCATAAGCTGCATAAAAATTGGTTCCAAATTAACATCATAGCATAATGATAGCATCAGCTTTTTGGATTACGATATTTTTTATTATTATTGTTATGACAGTGTAAACAATAGCAGGAAAAGTGCTTTAGGCAAGAGACTTGGACAAAGGCATCATGATGATTGACAAAGCTGAAAATAATATTTTATATACTTGTGGATGACATACAGCGGAAAAATGATATCCATACATGTAAGATAAGAGTCTATATGTTTTGAATGTCTCCAATTTGAGCAACACAAAGAATTGATGATCAGATAATTTCTTTCAGATGGGATCCAAAAGTTAAAATCAGTTACAGCCATGTAGCAAAAATACTAGAGAGAAAATACAAGCAAAAACCAAATATTGGCTGAAATAACTCATTAAATGTACATATAACTGGAGAACGGTCATATTGGAATAGCAAACGACTTGCAGCTTTCTAGAAGCTTTTAATCTTGCATATTATGAATTAATTCCCATAAATTGTGGGAAAAGCCCCACTATTACAATGTTTGCTGGGGTTTATTTCTGATGTTCCAGACTCAGAGTTTCCTTTCAATATTGCAGTGACTATCAATTCCCACAAATTGAGGGAAAAGCCCCACTATTACAATGTTTGCTAGGGTATCTTTCTAATGTTCCAGAGAGTTTCCTTTCAATGTTGCAGTGACTAACTGACAATTAGGTTCACATCCTAAAACATTCAGCTTTCAGAGTTTCCTTAGTGCCATTTGGTAGGGGAACATTGTCCCTTCTTCCTAACCACCTGCTCGTTTAACCTGCAAGCCTCATCCAAGCTGACTAACCAAATGAGGAAACAGAAACTGCCAACTAAGGAAAATAAATATCACCCTTAAAGAATATTAATCATTAGAAAAAGAAAATCTATTCAAGACCATTAATGAAAGAACAATGATTGAATAACAAATACTGAGAAACTATAGTATGGATTAAAACACACAATAACTTATAGGCACCAAAAAGATAAAGATCACTAGCTTGTGTACTTCAACCACTTAACAGTCAAATTACAAATGAAAAGGATACTCTCAATGCTTTGTTGTGAATTGTTGAGCTTAGCAAGCTTGTCTACCAAAATTTGTCCATTAAATGTGCCGTTCATTGCTTCTGATACTAAAAACTACACAAACTTTCAACCTACAACAGAACAAAAGGAGAACCCCAAGTTATAAGTTACGATGATACAAACTGAGTAGCAAAAGAATACTCAGTCTAACATCCAAATCAGAACAGATATCAAGATATCAATTATGCATACGCTCCTACCCCTTACTTGCAAGGCCCAAGTGGGCTCATCAACTCACACAAAAGTTCTTCAAATATACATATTAATAAAATAAGAGGTCCTTCAACTTGCATGGCTTGGCTGGTGAAAAGACTAGGACAATGTCATCCGCCAATTAATTTATTTTGGAAATGTGATATTACTTTATTAAAATGCTTAACATGAGATGAATTGACCAGTAGACACAAAACAAAATAAGATAAGCAGTGAAAAAGTAGTAAGTGAGTTTGAGCATGTAGACAAAGACATCGTATCAAGGAAAAAGCTTTAGAACTTGAAGAGAGAGATAAAAACCATGTTAAGGACAAAAGAATAGGAGGAAGAAAGTACAAGGAATGAGAATGATGCAAGTGCTCACATCAATTCCAAAAGTGAGCACCAACTCCAAAATGAAATGATGTTAATGCCCATAATAATTCCAAACCAGTATGATGTTAATGCTAATGTCAATTCCAAAAGGGGATGAAAGTGTAAGCGTGAGTAAGAACAAGAGCCTAAAAAATATAAGACTATGGTGGTAAATAGGGATGTTAAAGGAAGATATGAACATTTAGGGGAATGAAAAGGAAGTAAGCATTTTGCCAAAGACATTAAAGAGGGATATCTATTTTCCTCTTTTAATAATCAGGGAAAGTAGACAGTTGAGACAAAGAATGTGTTGCAAGTTCATTTCCATCCAAGATAAATTACTGCAAAACTAGTGCACGATCCAACAAAAGATTGTGACAGATGAGTATCCTTCCACGGTGCACAAACAAATCAGCAGGATTATTAAAACCAATGGTTTTATATTCGCTTCAAAGCCCACATTAATTTCGCTGGAGAAATTCAAATTTGACAGATTCAAGAGAATGCTTTGTGTTTCTTACAATAATTAAAATGAAAATATTGATATTAATACAATTAAGAAGATTATACAAATTAAGGAATATATAAAGGAATCAAGAAAAACTAAAAAGATTAAATGTTATAATAATCCGCAATGAACTTCAATCATTTAGTTATACACACTTGTCTAGGAAATAGTAAAACTATCCAGCCATTGAGATATCATTGCACAAACTAAGGCTCCACCTGGATGCATGTATAAGTCAATGATTCAATGGTCCTACATGTGGAACTTTTTATGGGCTGTTTGGTTGATTGATTTTCTCCACTATTATCTAGAATATTATTACAAGAAAGTGTAACAGAACTTATCAAGTACAAAGGTCATTTCTTCAAAAAAAATCAGGGGAATGTTTGGATGCACTAATAAGTCTATTTCCTATTGAGACTTGCCAAATTGACTTACCTTGGGATCAGGTCAAGTCTGAAGCCGAGTAGGGGTTTCAAATCATCCTTTCCTCTTTAAATGTTATATACACGGTGCACAAAAACATTCCCCCATGAAAGGTTGGCACGTAAAGGAACCCAGAAAACGCATGCAATTTAGAGCTAGTAAATTGCAATTATCGTATAGAATATTAGCATGAACACCGAGAATAAAACTTGCACGAAAACATCAACTGCATTGAGGAAACATAAGGGAGGGAATATAAAAAAAAAAGTTGATAAGAGAATAGAATAAACCTAAAATTCAAATCATTTAACCAGTGAAACAGTGATAAATTCCAAAGAATGGCCACCAAAGACAGTGACCAAGACCACACAGACCCAAGTACTCAACAGGTTTAAAAAACAAATAATCAACTCGCAGCTTACGCTCCTATGCAGTCTCTCAAAGAACTTGACCCCCTCGAGTATAAAACATAAAACCGATAGACAAAAATGCCAGAAAACCAAACTACTTGTTGTCTATAAGGTGAATCTTACTTATTTTCTAGTGCCTGGAGCAGATGACTTTTGGATTGGCACAAAATAGTCTCACCAACTCATACTCAAGTATGACAAAACGGGAGCATCAAGCCTTTTGATGAAAGGGGAGTATATGCACAACCAACAGTTCAACTTTATAAAAGCCAAAGTGCAAAAACTACAGGAACCCTAGAGTTAAAAACAAGAATTCAACACTAATTATTAAAAAACAAAAAAGAATAGAAGTGCAACCTTCAGAATATAACTTAAGGTTCACAAAACTATATAGTTTCGACAATAACATCCCTTCTTTAATTGTTTTAAATCATGTAATTACAAGATTAAATCACATGATAACTATTATCAACATAGGAAGACTGAACTTGACTGGCATAACTGTCGCCTTCACAGGCCCCTGATTCTTAAACAATGCCTTGCTGTCATTGCTCAAAATTGTTAAGGTGACTGGTCAGTGTTGAGGAACTACTTGCTGAATCACTGGCTCACTGTGCCAATGAGACAGCCTTCTTAAGCCACTGGTTTTGGAAATTAGGCTGCCATTGCAATCTTGTGGAATTCACTCACTACTTACCACGATCAAAAAGAGATGTGTTTCTGTTAGTTGAACCAATCTTTCAAGAATGAGATCTTAAGCTCTATGTAACTTCATAGAACCTACTGTATGCACCACAATCAGAAAGAATCTCTTACCAATAAAAATTCCCAAGAAAATAATGGGGAGCTTAAAAAATTTAGGAGTTTCGCAATGGCGGGAGAAAATAAAACAAAGAAACTTCCTGCACACACCATAAAAGAAATTCGTCAATTTTTTTACAAATATCCAATATATGCATTGAAGGATCCAAAGTAAAACTTCGCAGAAACTACCAATTTCTCAGGATATTTATGAAAAATCGCTAAAAAAATAACAGTTGAATTCCATTGCAGCAATATTTTTAGGTTAAATCACCAAGAACATTGTACAAGTTCCTGGAAATCTCTAAGCCTTGACACAAAACAGATACCGCTTAATAGTTGCATGCCATTAAACTCATCTTCAAAAGAGGACACCCCAAAAACATTTAATGAACAGTAAAAAATCACACTTCTCAAAAAATTCTGGCAATAACTCATAATTTCTGGAGATTTTTCCGAAAAATCCCTCTCAAAATCGTGATATTCCAGTGTAAAGTTTTTAGCTTAAAATCAGAAGTAATTTCTGGTGATTTTTCCGAAAAATCCCTCTCAAAATTGTGATATTCCAGTGCAGCAAGTATTTAGCTTAAAATCAACACAAATACCTCCAGAAGTTTCTGAAAATCTCAAAATCTTAAAACAAAAAAGATACCCACTAATAGTTCCATCCCATTAAAACAACTCATTCTTCAAAAGAAACTCAAACAAAGCAGTCCAGATTTTTTTTTTAAAAGAAAGCCAAACAATGCAAACAGCAAAGAATCAAATCCCAAACCTAGAATAAAATAATAGAGCATTGCTCACTAGCCATCTCTACATAAATAAATGAAATTAAAGAACAAATGCCTACCATCTGCATTATTTATTTATTCAAGAATAGGCACAAGAAAACTTAAGAAAAATCGCACCTTTTACGCCAAAAGCCCCTGAAATAGATACGGACCAACTGGTCTGTATTTATAGTCCATTGATTCTCAGAGTTGTGTCAGTTATTGCAGAGTAAAAACGTGCCGAGAATTTGTTCCTGGCACAAAGTGGCTTCTTCGCTAAATTTTCTCGTGCTTTTCTCCACGAGAGAGAGAGAGAGAGAGAGACAGAGAGGCGAAACACACGAGGGTGAGAGAAATTATACACCCGAGAAGAGAGAATAAAGAGAGAGATTATGGGCGCGAGGGGAGAAGGACGCAATTTTGGAAGAGGTGGGGTTTTATAGCCTAAAGAATCAAAGTAAGGCTGACCTGCTTCATAAGCTTAGGGGTCGCAATGGACCCGGTACCGACTTGAGCCTGGAGGGAGAAAGCCGATCCCGGTCTGGGCATGGCATGAGTTTAAATATTGGACTCCGTTAGGTCTGGGTTCAAATCTATTTCGGGTCTAAGTCCACTTGGGTCATTTTTTTTATCTACCAATATATGAAACATATTTGAGCTTATTTAAATAGATAGGCATTTTAATTTTTCGATCTAAGTCTAACCGCTCCGGTTCGAGTCCCAGGTCCCGGACTATATTTTCGGGTCTAGGTCCGGTTCCCCGGTCCCATACTATATTTTCAAGTCTGGATCCATGTCCCATATCATTTTTTTGGGGTCTGAGACTGTGTCCGGTAGGACCCGTATTTGACCTATTGCCACCCCTACTCACAAGATGTAGTTTCGGTATTAAAAATCTTTGTACTGGCTTAAAAAATTATTTTTACCACTAATCATAAAATTTAAATTTTCAAAACAAGTGTCGATTGAGCATATCTATGAAAACGTCAAAATCTTGGTAATTGATGGTTCAAAAAATGCCTTACAAGATGTATTATTTTCGAGACTTGAAATCTACTTTTTTCTTATGCTCATACATCATAATGTCGAGTTGATTTATTTGAGGATTTTTTAACATCAAAACAATCTCTTTTAGAAATTTTTGATATGTGCCTTAATTTGATTGCTTAGGGCATGCTCGTATATAAAGTGGTAGGACCCCACATCCTAATCACTAGGTTGCGGTTTCAATTCTCACTATTAGCATTACTCCATACTAGGAAAAAAAAAAAACGAAGAAAAAAAAAAAAAAAAGAAAGAGAAGCTAACTCTTAATCTACTTATAAAAAATTGAGTAGAAGCATTGAATTACCCAAAAATAAATAAAATATGCATTGTAATAAACTCCTAATCATCGATATCGATGGTTATCGGAGGCATCATCGTTGAAGCAAGGATGGTGATAAACGCAGTGGACTACCAATCAATGGAAGCGACCCATGTAGTACGACCCACTGTGTCCATTCTCGCTGACTCGATGCTGAAAAACATATGGAATTATACATCTTTTATGGTCCTTTTGCAGCTTAGTGTACTTTTATAACAAAATTTGGGGAAATGATCGTAGTAAACCTTATACTAACGGGAACGGTTTTTATGCTTTCCCAAAACCATAGAAGTTCTATCCTTCCCTTACCATCCGGCCGTTCAATTTTGATCAAGAGAGCCACTCACCGTTTGATTTTAGATATGACATCTCAAAGTATTTTATTTTTATTTTTTTTATACAAATTGTATGAATATGAAATTTGGTATGTGCCATCTTTTCATTGGGGCGCACCAATAAAAAATAGTAAAAATAAATTTTCAATAAAATATAATAATCAAAATATTCCTTGAAACTTTCAAAAGTATTTTGGTTATTTTATTTTATTGAAATTTTTTTTTTTATATATTTTTCGCTAGTGCAAGTTTAATAGAGGAATGGACGTCCAAAATTTGATGTCAAAATAGTTTATAGAAAAAAATTAAAAATAAGATAGTATAGAGACATGACATTGCGATTGGGGTAATCTTAACCCTCCATTCGAAATGGACGGTTGGATAAGAGGGAGGATAGAACTTCCATGTTACAGGGGAAGCATAGAAAGCTTGCCCTATACTAACGAGGGCACAAATTGTGCTTCCGTTCGAGCATGCATATCTACTCCCTTGATTTGAGATTTATCAAAAAGAAGAAAATTGAATTTTGAGTTTCGTGATACTTAGATCTAGCCTGCAAAAAATTTGACAGTCTCCATTCAATTTTGAGGCATTATTATTTTTAGTATATAGAGAATTTATTTAAAAAATAATAATAATTAAGAATATTCTATAAATGGTAGAAATTACATCTCTAAAATTAAGATCTAAAAAGCATCCCTAACATGTATATTGGCCAAGGGAGTAAATGAATAGTATACTCCCGAGCGAGTAGGAAAGGTTTTACTTTTTCTTAAAACGATACGCTTTCTATAAGTAAAATGAGTCACCTCTTAAAAATCTATTTTTGAAATTGATTTTTGGACCTAATTTTTTAAGACATGTAATCTTCAACATGGAGATCATGAATATGAAAAATAAATAAATTAAAAAAATTAAAAATAATAATTATATTAAGAAAATATTTGGACAATTAGTTTCGATTGTTTTTAGATTGACCACTATTTGCATTCATCTTTAAAACGGATTCTTTATACCTCGATAACAGAAAATATAGAAATGTGGTCCCCGCTACATGAAACAATTTTCTTTCTTAAAATTAGGGGGAAATAATAAGGTGGGGGGCCTCTAATAAATGTCTTCAATGAGTGGACTCATGCGTCTATTGCGATTTTGAATGGATTTACGACATCATTTCATCCGTCTTGTTTTTTAAGGGTTTAGGACTCAGAAACATATTTGAAATCATTGCAAATAGATTTGAAGCTTCAAAAATAGTGTAAATCTCATGAATTGGAAGTTCCAAAAATAGTTAAAATCTCAAGACATTAATGAATCTGAATTTGCAATGATTTCAAATATTTGAAGCTCCAAAAATAATGGAAGTCTCATGATCTTTGAAGAATTGAAATAAATAGTCATATAACAAGTACATGATGAACCATTTTCAAGGTTAGAATTTTCTTTTTTCTTTTTTTTTTAATTCATGAACATGATGGTTTAGATGATGGACTTCTTAAATTTTCGATCTCCAATTTATCTCCAAAACGGATTTTAAAAGGGTGAATGCATTAAAAAATGAATCCTACTGTCATGGTAAAGAACAAAGAGAGAGGAAGAGCAGGGGGCATATTCTAATTTCTCTATTTCGTTCTAATTATGCCGGATGTCTCCACAGAGATGGGGCATCTAAGAAGATCTTGAGAGAGAGAGACGGAGGTTTTTGGGCCAGAGAATTTATCTCGTTTGGATTCAAAACCCAAATTTTGGATTCTATCCAAAGTCAGGTATGGATCAAACATATTGGATTTGGATCCAAATAGCATTTTGTATCGGATCCAAGTACAAGTGGATCCAATCCAGATCTAACCCAACAATTAATATATTATAATATATATATATATTTTTTTTATATAGTATTTTTTGTTTTATATTATTTTATAAATATAAAATTATTTTTTAGATCCAATCGGATCCATACTAAAGGTGTTATTTTTGCCTTGGTCTTCAATCTGCTCACTTTGACTCCAATAAGTGGTATATTACATCAGAGATTGTCTACCAAGAGACCATTTATATATGTATAAAGAGGTCACACTCATTCTTGCCTTTTAAATTTAAAAGTAAGTGGTTGTAAGAGTATCATTGAGTAAATACAGTTAAAAAAAAAAAAATTCAAACTTTGTGACTCACCTCAAACTATCCAATTTGACATCTAATGAGTGAGAATAATTGTGACCTTCATATACACAAAGTAAATAGTCTACACTCACCATGAATAGGTTCACCAGCAAGACTTTTGAGATATTTCAAAAATAAAAAACTTTGAAATCTAATAAAAATTAAGGAAATGTGTATGATGAGACAATTTACTTTTTAATACAAGGTCACAATCATTGTCAACCGTTAGATGTGAAATCAAACGGGTGGTGACGTGTCACTACTTGACCACAAAGTCCAAAAACAAATTTTTTCGAAAGCTATAATATATTTTTATATATTAGATTTCACGTCCAATAGCTAAGAAAAGTTGTGACCTCATTGTACCAAAAATAAATAGTATCGTAGTATACAATCCAAAAAATTAAAATGAAAATTATAGAAAAATAAAAAATATAATTTATTGAAAAGTTATTACAAACAACAAACAAACTAATTGTTTAAGGGATCTTGTGAATTGTGAAATCTTGTGAATTGTGAAAAATAGAAAATGTAAAATAAATTACAAGCGATGAATTTATGTTTTTTAAAAAGGACTGGCTAATGGTTATGGACCGGCTGGTCCCAACATTGGACCAATCGGTCCAACTGGATCTTTCTTTAAGTTCCTAATTCTTTAGGTTGAGAGAAAAAAAAGAAGAGACAAAAAGGGAAGAAGAAAGAGAAAAGAAAGAAGAGATGAGAAAAAAAAAAAAAAAGTAAGAAAAAAGAGAGGAGAAAAAAAAGTTACTTGATAGCTCAATGGTACCGGTCTAAAATCTTCTCTGCTCTCTCTAAAATCATGACTCAAAAGTTATGCTGAAGCCCAAATTTTTAATTCATCGATAGGGGTTGTCATTAACTACTCTCAAAGTTCGATTTTTTTTTCAAACCGACTCAACTCAAATCATCTAATTTGACGTCTAATTGCTAAGAATAATTGTAACTTTGTATTAAAGATAAATGATCTCATAATATACAATCCCATAAAACATTAATCCGTTCTCTTATCAAAACACACCCCCATATAGAACTGAAGAGGTCAAAATACCCTCCTTAAAACTAACTAAAAAAAATGAAGAAAAAAGTACGTTATAAAAAAAAAAAAAGCTTAAAGAAAAAAGTTGACATTTTCAGGACCAGCCGTTTTAGTTATAGACTGGCTTATCCAAATATTGAACTAGCCAGTACACTAATTCCATGCCTAATTTGATGGACTAGCAGGTCTGAGAACCTAACGAGACCAGCTAGAGCACTAATTGCCGGTTCGAAGCAGCTGCTTAGATCTGGTTCTTGCAACTCTAAAAAGATTGTTTTGGTGAATTCAGGTTTAGCGGTTGGAATTTGGGACACTGACGTTACATTACAACTTTCATCATCCTACCTCCAACCAAGTCAAGAATTATAAACCCATTACAAACAGCAAAACAGTTGATGGACCACTAAAACATTCGTTAAGTATAAATCAGATAAACCCCTTCCATGAACTTACAGTCAATATGAAGCCTTTGACGAGGCTAATCTGAAAACATGGCAGCTCAAGAAGCCACGGTATCAGAAACTCACAAAATGAAACACATCTAAACAGGTTAGCATATGGCATAACAGCATTATAAAATGACTGCCATGGAACAGCACCCGGATGAAGAGCCTCAACAATTAAGATTCCTTTGCTAGAAGGCACCGTATCGTATTTGAATCATCGATCAAAAGGGTTACAAGCTCAATGAAGGTCGATACACTCTGTTTGGGTTCTTGCATCAGCTCCCACCATTTAGGGCCAGGAAAATATTGAAAGATATACCACGGTCCAATGAATATTGGTGATAGAGGGCATGACACAATACGACAGTGCATGGCCCAAACGATGGACCCACTCTCTTCATCCATCACCGTTCATCATTATAAGGAGCCAATGGTCTACAATTTTCTGGAGTCAATCAAACTTATAGTGCAGTTTCTTTTAATCCAATTCCTATTTTCGGGAGAAAGAAATTGTCTTTATCACTTCTTTCCTCAATTTACAAGAGCCCAATATATGGCTCTCATTGACTTCTCCAGTGTTTGAGAGGTGGACCCCATATGCTTGCATGCGCCTAATGTCACGTGGAATGGGGGACTGCCATGTTGCATCCCACCAAGCTGATGGGAGGAGAGGAGTGAGGGCACATTGGTTGGGCTGGCCGCGACAACTCAATGGACCTGAGAATCTGTTCCATACGTGGCCCCAACCAACCTGAGTCCCAAGGCCAGTAACCAAGAGGTTGCTATGGAAGCTGCTATAAAATGAAAAACCAGAAGTGTGCTCCTCATCTGCCAATTTCAAGAGTGTCAGTGATGATACACTCTCTCTCTCTCAGAGCAAAACATTCCATTTTTCTTTGGGGGTGGTTAATTTTTCTAAGAACCAACATTGACTGCAAAAGATTTTAAACAAGGTTCTAGAAACGGTGGTTTAATATTATAAGGGTTTGTCTACAAAGAGACCATTTATTTTTGTACTTGTCCCTTAAATCTCAAAATGGGTGGTTGTATGCAAAGTTCCAAAAAAAAAATTCTTGGACTTCATGATACACCCCAAGCCATCCAATTTGACATCTAATGAATAGAAATGATTGTGACCTCCATGTACAAATCATAAATTGTCTCTTTATAGACAATCCCATATTATAAAGCCCTTTACCATTAACATTCTAACAGTCTCTTATTATCATCATCGTCAAAGCCTTTTTCCTAACTAATTGGGGTTGGCGATTTAACAGGCTCTTATAATGTCTCCTAGCTCCCGGTTAAGAAGAAAATCTACGAACCAATGTCATTTCGTTATGGCAGAAAGGGTTGTTGCCACTATAATAGCCATAAACGGTCTCTTTCAAAAACCTTGACTAAGTGTGAGCAAAAGTTTTCTAAACTTACCAAGTTGCCGTGCTGCTGCTAATCCTGCAACTAATTGGGCAAAAGTTGTCCCAACTCGCCTGTGGGCCCCAGATACAACTGCATGCTTTGCACGTGATGCGAGGAAGAAATCCACAAATGCTACCCACCTTGGTGTTGGGCCCCAATCTTTTACCCTGAATTTTAAAGGCTGAAATGCCAAAGTTCAAAATATCATTATTTCTTAATATAAAATTTTCAGCAAGGGCATTCCTAAAACAGGAAGAAGACAAAATCAACTAAACAAGTGTCGTGCATGGCAGATGGGCCACCTATTATTTCAAGAGAGAAAAGTGATCCCCAAGCCACCATTCTTTTTGGTGCAATCCATCAAGAAAATCGGTCAACATCCACATGAAACACAAAAAAGGAAACCTAAAAAGGCTGAAGTACCTGATTTTGGATTCCATCGAGCACCTCACTGGAAACATTCTTCTCAAATAACATGTAGTCAAAATGAAGAACCTGTGTATTTAACCAGATGGTGTTATCAATAGGACCATGAAAAGTATACATGATGAACTTCATTGCTACTAACCTCAGCAAATCCACTCAAGTTCGGCTTAATATCTTCAATAAGTGAAGGTGTATCAGAAACCACCACCACCCGAGGTCTCCTGGTCATGTTTTGATATTCATCCAAGGCCTTCTTTAAGCAACTCAATGCTGCTTTAACTGCTCTGACAGGTCTGAAAAAAAGTTGCTCATATGAGTCTCTCAAGTTATATTCAGTATTTGGATATGACCCAGGGCATGCATCATAACTTACACCACATCTATAGTGTTCGATAATGGCTGATATACACCAAATAATGGGAGATATCGTAAAAAGGATTTTTCAGTCACTACGGCACTACAAATAGTTTTGTGTACTACTGAAAAAAATAAAAGTAATAAAAACTTAGAGAACCATGAAGATATTTACATGAAATGAAATCCTTGTTGGTTCTCCAAAAGTCTTTCATTTTAGCACACTGAAGCAAATACTGATTGGAGTTAAACAAGGATAAAGGAATTCACACAATTATACACAAATGGCCATATGACAAAGATTAGCCATAGATGCAGAATTATCCATTCAAGATGTACTTATTTGTCAATTACCCCAGAAAAAATGAGGGACAAAACTTCAAAGGTCAAAAAGGTTGTGAAACAATAAGATTGGTTCACCTATTCATCTGCAAACGCATGTGCAAGGTAATGTCTGGATCTGGACCACCTTTAAGGACCCAATTTACAGCTTTTTCAATAGCAGGTGTAGGATGTACAACAATACTCATCAACTCCCCAAATACATTAGGTCTAGCACGCAAGAGCCTTGGCTCTCCAAACAACATAGAGGCAGCATCCCTCATTCCAGGGTGTATGTTTTTCAAGAAAAATTGAATTGCAACAGCATCTGTCGTACTCTGGAACCTGTCACATAATTACAACTGTGAATGTTTATCGCTTCAACAGCCACACCAAAGGTCGTGGCTCAGTAACATATGATGCATGCATGCTTCCAAATTTCTGTGATCTCATTGTCCAGAAGTGTGTTTTCGGTGCAGTAACAATGGGAATTTCTAACGGAAATGACCTCCTTTGACTTCTCCATTTTTTTTTTTTCTTGATAAATAGTGAATCCCCACTGTCAAATGGTAAAGTATCCCCAAAGGGCCATCCGTCCAATGAAAACATGCAAGCCGATGGAGAAGTGACACCCACCAGAACATGAATTAACCCATTGGTGGGTCTCAATCCCTATTCATCAGTATCACTGTCCATCCTTTCATTGGATGACAGTAACCCCATTGGCCAATGGTTTCCACTGGATTAGTATACTTCTCAAGAGTTGTCTGGGAAAATTGTGTTCTATTAAACCAAACTGTCACAACCACATTATGTCAGTTCCATCAAAGTGTAGTAAGCTGGTTGATCCATTCCACAGTCCAGGAGGATGGGTCCATGGCCATCCCAGGAGCATGGATCTATGGCCATGTCCATTACACGGACCTCAGTCAAAACTTTTACAAGTCCAAAAGAAGAAAGAAAAAATAGTTGAATCACACCTCACCAGATGATAGGTTGCTTCCATTCCCTCCAATTGCCACATAGGACATTCGTATCAGCTGTTTTCTCAAAATCATCCATTCTCATCGTTAGACGTTTCCCATGTTTGTGAACACAATCATTCTGCCGCCAGAGATGCTTAACTTCATGCAAGGTGAATGAAAGATTGGTATAAGCAATATAATCCCCAAAAGGATATTTTCCCCTGCACATATTGAAGGAAAATGTTAGCATATGAAGGTACAAATCACTTACAATGCAAAAACTATGCATCTATAGGCATCTCTGTTTTAAATATTACATCAAAGCAAACTATCTACAACACAATAAAGAAAAAAGACTCAAGACTAGTGTACAATCTAGCATCTCTAAAATTGTTTTTTTTTTTGACACACTAATATTAACAATGCATCTTTGTCTGCATGTTAGGCTTGCTAAATAGAAAAGAGGAAAAAGAGGAATGGGGCAATGTCCTCATGATTGGCATGAGCAAGAGAGCATTGACATGGACATGAAGAACCAAGAGATTCATAATGTTAAGACATTCAACAAGTACCCTACACGAACGTCACAGTTACTGCCAAAAATTTCAGATGGAAAAAATGAAGGTAAGAGGAGGATCAAAATGCCTGGTTTGCCCGATGATCAGGGATCGGTTTAAGAGAACACTCAATGCTGCAGCAGTTAAGACCTTGTACATTTCATTGCCAAACCCTGCTTCAGATGCCTTTCCTAAAACAAAACCCTGCTTGCAAAACTGCTCGGGAGACAGGTCGCGGACTCTAGCAGCTCCTGACATATGAATTAAATACATAAAGATCCACGGTTTTTACAATTCTGTAGATACCCAGCCATTTTCTTATTTTCATTCATTATATATAGAACCGCTCTTTCATTTTATTATGCAAGAGCACCTTTCATCATTTCTTTCCAATGACTAGATCCCAAAAAGGCAAAAAAGAAGTACATCAACATTTCCTACTAGAACAAATAGATAGCTTTCTTCATGTGATTGAGTATAAACTTACCATTTTGAAATTGAGTAACATTCGAATCAATGGGCCAGCGCAAAATAGATAACAAGAAAATTAAACCCCGATGGCAAGTTGTAACCATCATAGCATTTCTAAAATTCAAAACTATGGAATGAGAACAAAAATAAATCGCATGCTTACATTGCTAATTACTATTGCACGTGATTCACGTTTAATATTATTTTGCACCTATGAATAATTTGGGGCGCCCTTGATAGAGCAGAATCCTGGACCAAGATTCATGTACCCGACACCAAATAGTTGGGAAAAGGCTTCGATGATGATGATGATAATGAATCACGTGCAATGAATATGTCCATGCATTCCAGGAGCTTCATGCATTTGTATACAGATTTTCACTCATATATATGACACACAGATGCCCGCATGGAGTGGAGACTGTAAAATACTTTCAAAATTCCACTAGAACTGGCTAACAGTATAGGCAACATTAATCTCCCACAACTTGAAAATTTACCGCCAAAAAGGAACCATGATTTGGCTCCATTTCTTCTTCTAAATTTCAGCTGTTTTCATCAATGCAACTAAGTATATTCATTATACAGACAAAACCAAAAAGATCTATTCATCAAAAAACAAGAAAAAATGTCTATTCATCAAAAACCAGTACACCTCTTGTTCAAGACTAGGTATGAAGGTCTCTTTAACCCCATCATCCTAGTTAACGGATTACTCAACCCCTAATTTGTATTCGTAGATAGTTGTTATTTTTTATTATAAAACATTGCTAAGGCCCCAAGCACTCAAACTGGCCCTGAAAAAAACATTCTATGTTTCTTCACTGCTTATGATCTGTAACAAAATTAAGCTTCTTTAAACATTGTATCTATGGCGTTCTACTCAAAAGAGACCAAACCAACCATTGGCAGAAGACGCTGCATATACCAGTCGAGTATGCTACGCAGTCGCCCAAATCACTGACAAGTATGCAGTACTAAAGGCATAGGTACACGAATTATATGAAGTTAGAGGGCGCACCATGAAGGAGAAAGTGATCTCTGATGATTTTTCTAACCCTGAGGCTCTGAATTCCCGACTCATCTGAAAAATCAGCTCCCATTTCCTCAACTGTAGCACAAGAAGACGGTTTTATCTCTGGAGCCCGACCATTCTCGATATATTCTGTCTCTTTAAGAGCATCTGAAAGCATTTGATCTTCTTCCATTTCAAGAGGATGTTGCAGAGACCTTGAACATAGAAGAACCACAAAATAACCAATGGAGAGGGTGAACAGGAGCCGGAATCCATGGCTGGTCAGCCGTTTCTTTCTTGATCCAGTAAATTTCATCCTATGGTTTTATTTGAAATCGGAGAGTTTAGGGCTTTTGTCACAAGAGTTGCAGGTTATTATGGATCTATAATCGGCAAACATAGGGTTTCTGTTCCAGGATTTGTAAGCTATGATGGTTTATTGCAAAATTAGGGTTTTCCATGGAGCTGAGAAAATGGGGAGACTTCGGTTTTCAGCTCAAGGTCAAATAGTCGCTCACGCGCACGAGTGAGCCAGAGCTCCAACACAGTGCTCGCTAATGCGCCCTGGCTATGCGCCGTACGACTGTCTGATATGCGTGGTCATTAGCGTCCGTCCAATTTGGAATGGACAGTGATGGAACATAAGTGGCCCCTAGAAATGATGCAAGTCCATATGCAGCTTGCACTCCATCTCCAGCTTGGACGGCGATTATTGTCAGAACCGCATACTCATGCAGTCACTTGGACGGCAATTATTGTCATAACCACATACTCATGCAGTTATTTGAACATGACATACTTTATCAGTATGAAAACCATTAATTTCAGACCATTGTCACTTAGGGCACCAAAGTTGAATTAATTTGGTCGTGGTTTCTTAGTAAAGGATTAAAAGAAGGGAAAATTACACAAAAACATTTTAAAATGGGCTATCTAGGTAACTCATCCCATCTAAATCTTTTTTCTGACTTTTTTTCCCAAAATAAACATTTTTTTTGGATGGAAATGCTACAAATCAAATCAATTCGTGGGTTCTAAGTTACAAATCAAATCAATTCGCGGGTCCCAAGTAGCGTACTGCTGGAGCTCGTTCTCATAATGCCAGAGCGTTGTGGCTCCAGAGACTTCATTGTCGGAGCAGAATGTCGAAGCGCGTCTTTGCACTACTGGAGCGAGTTCTCATAATGTCGGAGCGCTGCGGCTCAGACCTGCATTGCCAGAGCGCACATTCAGAATGCCAAAACACGTGTTTACGCTGTCGGAGTGCGTGTAAAAACATGAGAGAGAAGACTGGGTGAAAACAAACAATGGTAATTTAATCTTATTTCATTCTACTTTTGGGTTTTTGGATTGGGGGGTTATTTGCGAAGAAATATTGTTTGGGGAAAAAAGTGAGAGAAAAGATTGTGGTAAGGTAAGTTGCATAGATAGTCTAATTTAGGTTGTTTTTTTTTATAATTTTCTCAAAATTGTTTCATACGGGCTGCACCGCATGACTATATATATTATTAAATGGAAACTAACGTTCTAAATGTTTTCTTACTATAATTATTATTTTTAATTATTAAAATTTATTTATTTTTTCATATTCATTATCTCCATGATAGAGATTATATATTCTTAAAAATTAAATAAAAAAATTCATCTCAAATATAGATTTATTAATAGGCCCGCATTCGTAAATATGAGGGTAAACAAGTTCTTTACTCAAATGTAGAGGTCTAACTTTGAAATAGAGGTTTGAGAAAGACAAGCAAAGCAAAACAAAATTCTATATTGGGGGGTGGTGGGAGAAAGTGACACCATAAAAGGTTTGAACTCCACGTCACGCATAAAAGCATGTTGCTCGATGGAAGATATGCATGTTAGTGGTGTACGTGGGCACCACGAGTGATAGTGTGTGCAGAGATAAAACGTTCACAAAAATGGGTAGGCCACCACAAGACTTTTTATTAAAAAAATGTGGAAAAACCCCAGGAACCATCTGGTTCTCTGACAAAGAACCGCTATGGACCGACTGGTTGTGGGGTATATGGTTGCATCCTGATACATTAAGAGATCGAAATCGCTCAGGATGATTTCTGTTTTGGATAAGTCGATTTCGATCCGGATCATTGATTTTTCAAACACTTATATATATGCTTTTGGTTGAATATGTTTTGTGAGGATCAACAAAAGTGATAAACTACGAGTAAACTAAAGATTTTTTTGATTTTATTTATAATGGGTGTGTTGAGAGATAAAACTTTCACAAAAAAAGGTGGGCCACCACAAAACTTTTTGTTAAAAAGTCGAAAAACCCCGTTCATTAGGAACATCTGGTCTGGATCTCTCTCTGGTTCTTTGACAAAGAACCGGTATGGACCGGTTTGAACGGACTGGTGCTGGGGGGACACAGTTGGATTCTGATATATTACGAGATCCAGATTGCTCAGGACAATTTATATTTTGGATTGGACGGTTCCAATACGGATCAATGATTTTTCGAACACGAATACATATGTTTTTGGTTGAATATGACTTGTGAGGATAAAAAAAAAATTATAAACTACAAGTAAACTAAAGAATTTTTTGAGTTTATATATAATGGCAGAAATCAAATACTAGATCATTTGACCAAACCTAATTCTACATACTAAAACTGATTTAAAGACTAAGATAGCAAAGTATGGTTAGTAAGTGTTATGATAGATTGATAGGGCCTTGGAAGATCAAATGTAAGAGCGTTCTGTGATGCCTTGGCACAAGAGAACAATAAGTTGCACAAGGGTTTAGCTCAACTACAAGGCCTAGCACCACAGTTCAATAACCCCATGGATTCATCTCCCATCAATAACAGCATGCCCCATAATCTCTCTCAAGTACCCAACATAAGCCGGATACTTCATTTTCTGGGGCTAAGGTTTCGTATCTCCGGTGGGTTTGCTCAAATAAATCGACTGCTCCAAAAGTTTCCAATTATTCAAATGCATTCATGGTTGCCACTGTTCTGATGCAAAAAGCTGCACAAATGGGAGCCAGGGTTAGCAATAACACAATTCTACCACTCATCTTCCTGAGGCCTACCCGATCCAACAAGTGATTTATGTATAGGGAGCCAAAATCGGTTTCTAAAAGAGCTAGAGAATCCAAAAGTTTTATTCTACTATGAACATGTAGTCAATGAGCTAGAAATGAAACAGGCGAGTACAAACTATAAACAAAAATTAAGCGTAAAGCATGCATTACAAGCACACAAAATTTGAGACACAAAGTTGCCTCACTAACCCTTGACAAACATAGTCGAGCAACCTATTTAGAGTAGCTCTCCTGATGGACAGCAGTCGCCATTCTTTTATCTCTATTCCATAGCTAAACCATTATCCCGAAAAAAAACTTGAAAACAATAAAGACTTTCTCTTATTAAAAAGATAAACCACCCAGTATCTCCATGGAAACAACTTCTCTACAAGACACCAACTCTCACGCACCAACAAGCATGTGGTGGCCTTGCAGGCACCAACGAGTATGTAGAGGCCGCCTTGTAAATGGAGGCCTAACTTCTTATGCACAAGAGGCCCCTGCCTCTTTCTTTAGAAGATGCCACATTTCCTATATGGTGACCTAGATAAGGCACTCACATCTTTTCTCTTATACTATATATAATGTTAGGAATTCATACTAAAGATGAAACTTTCCAAAAGTGCTATATATATCTAAAAAACCAAGAGATAAAATCAAGAACCCTAAATGTTTTGGACTTCTATTTTATTTATAAGACTTATTAATATCAATTTCGATATCAATTGCATTTAATATAAAATTACCTTGTATCACCTTTTCGAATATTTCTCTTTTGATGATTCATTGAGAGAAGAGCATTAACCTTGTGAATTTTTGGAATGGGGGACGATGGCTATGTTGATATTTATCTCGAATTCTTGAATCCTTAATTTTAAGGGATTGATTTTCTTTAATTTAGGTTTCCTATTTATTTGAGTAGAACCTACCATTTAGGATCTAAGTTTATGGATAAGTCTTACTTAGATTAGGATGGATCCTTAGGTCTAAATAGAAATGAAGTCGAGTTTCCTAACTTTATGGGAAAAGATAGAACATACGATAGTTTTAGAGGGAGAAATAGATCCAGAAAAATAGAGGAAAATTTTGGGGGGTTTTTGTTAAAGAAAAAATTGTAGAGAAGAAAGCTTTGTGAGAGATTGAGTATCTGGTTTTCTCAAGTAAGTTGTCTTGTAATTTTTTTTCCTTGATTTAGTGAAAAACATTTGCCTTGTAATTTTCTTTCTTAGATTTAGTGAAAAACATTAATCGTCTTCGCCTGTAGATGTGGTCACATCTGTGACGAACTACGTAAATCCTGATATTCTTTTTTTATTATTTCTTTCTTGTTTTATTTTTGTTGCTTATTTTTTTGTGGATTCTTTTATTTCGCATACTTCATTTGCCAAAAATCAACCCATTGGGTTTAGAGCTTTCGTGCAGCAGGCTAGGGGTTAAAGAGAGAGCATGATGCTAGCTTTCATGAGCTAGGGGTTTGAGAGAGAGAAGGTGCTAGCTTTTATGAGAAAATACGTGGTTTTCATCACGCAGGCCAAGATTAAGCTTTCCTAGACCTATACGGGATTTCTAGGGTTATCATGATTTTTATATTTTTGGCTACGCCGAGTCTCGATGCCCGGCTTGGGTCATTTTTATTGTTAGGACTTAGGATAAAATAAATAAAAAAATATACAATGAGACTATTTACTTTTTGTATAAGGTGGTCACAATTAATCTTGACCATTGTATGAAAAATTGGGTGGCTGCATTTATTTCATTGACCAAGTTCAAAAATCAAAAGAAATTTTTTTGAATATTGTGACACCAAACTATTCAATTTTACATCGGATCCGTATAATAAGGAAAATGGTTTGATAGGGTTGAACCCTATCCAAATAAAGTAAAGCTTCACCTTGTAATTCATCGAAAATTGTAATTCAAGCATTGAAAAACTATTACATCAATCATCTCTACTTAAACATTATAGTTGTGAAAACAAATTAGGATTCTAAGCTCTAAAAATAGTGTATATTGTTAAAAAATTATCTAACCATCTATTTCACTCTATAAATAACTGTTCATTGCTCTGCAAGATCAATATCATTTTTTGAGTTTCAGATTTTATTGTCTGTTTAGAAAATTTATTTTAGAGCGAGATTTATGTTGCCAAAAGTGTTTTATAGAGAGGATTTGAGGTGAGGTTTTATTTTGTTTTCATAAAGCCTACGCCTTGTAGAAACTTCATCCTATAAATAATTTTGACCTCCTTGTACAATAGGTAAATACTTTCATCCTATACAATAATATAGAAAAAATCGGGCGGTTCAAATTCTGACTGCGCGGTTAGAGTTGGTTTTGGTGAACGGGCTAGGTGTTTTTTAAAAAATTATATAAAATTTTAAAAAATAAGGAACTTTGTTTGTAATATATTTTTTAAATATTTTTCATCATTTTGGCAAAGATTGGAAATTATTTTGGCCATTAATACTTATTTTTATATTATCTTATATTTTTGAAAATT